GTCGTCTACCTCCCGTGAAGTTAATACATCACCAAAACAGTCTCACCCGATAAATAAGTGGCGTAGGCCGCAAACAGGTCATCTCGCCAGGATGTTTGTGCTCTTCGCTTCTTGGTTCAGCCGACTTGCACTAGCTGAATTCTGATTTGTGTGTACCGGAGACCCAACTAAACACAATCATCAGACCACATCAACACACGGTTTGCTTGTTCAGCAGCATCTTTTCGACGATCTACAAATTTCGGCGCATGATCGGTACCGCCAACAAAGATGGTCAGGAGGGTTTGTTTAATCGACAGCAGCAGTATTTTGTGTCCATGTTGCCTTAGACCACGGTACAACAACAGCAGTAGTAGTCCGTACGACTGTACTGCTGTAGCGGGCACATACCGTAGGTTGCACAAGATAGCACACCCCCTGGGCCGATTTTCAAAGCTCGATTACTCCGCGACGAATATGATGCCGAGAATGAAGTGTACGTTTTCGGAAAGCTCCCGACGAGTCGCCGACGAGTCGGCTCCAACGCCGCCATTTTCGGCATCGTCACTGTTTTTCCTCGGAGATATCGAGCTTCGAAAATCGGTCGAGGGGGTGTGGTATCTTATGCAACCTACGGCACGCATACAACATCTAGATATGCTGGCGTCGCAGTCCTAACCTGAGATGCTCAACCACGCAGTATGCTGTAGCGACGTGTGTGTTGGTGCGCTTAGGTCCGTCGCTGGGGTTGGGGCATCGGAGAATTCACTGCAGTCGCGACCACGAGCCCAAGGAGCAGCCGTGCATTTTGTGGCATGAGCTGCTGCTGCTGCTGTAGACAACAGCAGTAGACCCGCACTTCAGGAGGCTGTGTGACGACGAGCGCTGTTTTGAAAGATAATTCCGATTCCCAGGCTTTTGGAACGCAGTGGCAACTTGAAGCAGCACAGCCTTAAGATCAGCAGATCTGAGCATGTCTACATTATCGTGTCGAAACTCCACGATGTTTGTCACTGACGTATCGTTTCAGGTTGGGACCCCGATAACGCCAAGCCCCTTTTCAGCCCCTATGACCCTTGCCCGACACGTCGCCTGCGACGTCTGGCTGCTGCTGCCTAGGACCATGATTTCTAGAACCTTTGTGATTGCTTTTGTGTTGATGTTTCTCGGCCTCTTATTTGCTCTTCAGGTTCTCAACTGTATCGTTTTGTAGGGCTGCTGGCCTGTGCCCACGAAAGGCATCCCCGTCAGCTGCACCACCAGTAAGGATGTTGAAGGGTTGTAATTCATGGCTGCACCCCTCTTTTCTTGTCGCGTCCCAACCGCTGTCCACTTGATACAACAGGTCAATCACCGCGCACCCTGCTGGCCTGCTTCTGTGCATCTCCAGCACTAGCGCACTCGATGTTGCTGGAGTGCAACATCCTGTGGAACCTGAGGATGATGGTCAAGAACCGTGGCTCGCCCGCAGCGCTGGGAGGACACTACAACAAGTATCTTGGGAAGCTGATCCAGCGGGCCACGGGGACTGGGATTCGAGTTCCCCCGTCCCCCCGGAGTGGCTGGTCGCCATCGACTCAGTAGGCACGGGCGAGAGGGGTTGGCCCGCCAGGAGGTTATGGGGGGTAGAGTCTGAGGGGGCATGAAGTTTCCACGATGATGAGGCGTTGTGTGTTCGTTTGGACGAAAGTATTGATGTCAGCGGCCGAACGCTGCTGTCGCACCTGATGCTTTCACGGCAAGGATGGGCGAAACAATGCCAGAATCGAGGGTCCACACCAGGGGCGAGGAGCGCAACTTCATAGACGACCTGGCGCTGCTGACGGCAGAGGAACAACATGGGAGGACTTTCACCAATACCAGCGGGAACAACGCTCTCCGTTTCGACCTACAACAGCCCGGGGACGGGGCTGCGTGCGAGGGCTCGGTTGAAGAGATGCAGCCTGGTCTTGTGTTCTTATGGGCGTCGCAATTTTCTGGAAGGCTGGCCTGGCAGAGGGAGGGAGCAGGGGGAGGGAGCAGGGTGTGGGATGAAGACACGGGGGGAGGCTGAGTCAGTGCGGGGGCTCATGGCCACCGCCGTCCGTGCTGCACCAGCTGCTGGAGCGTGGATGCTGGTGCTGATGGGGGGGAGGGGGGGCAACGTTGGTGGCAAGCAGCCGCGGAAGACGAAACGAGAGAAAAACGTACCACGTTTTGTTTGACGGTCATGTGTGTGGTAGATTGTTTGTAGGCAAGGATTTGCTTCGTGTGACGACTGTCATTTCTCAGGGTGAACAAAGTGTGTTCTGGAATTCGGTGTGTTTCTTACACGTTCCGGTATGCTTTTTTCTGGATGCATCATCAGCCGGGATCATGAAGGAGGAAGGCCACACAACAGGAGATTTCGTGTCTTTTATTTCACACCTTCTTTCTACCGTGTGCTTGCTTTCACTTTTGGACACGAAAATAGTTCAACCGTCGCTTTCTATCGTCGACCGTGAACTCGAACCTGTACCGGAGGGTATTGCATGCCATCAGCAGAGCTCTGTATTCTACCAACTGCACTCACGGGGACAACCGAGCGGCCGGTGCGTCTGTCCTCATTTTTTGTCTACAGTTCTACCAAGTGTGTCGTTTTTTTGGGGTGGATTGAAAAGAAAAGAAGAGTTGCCCATCGAATTTAAAAAAAAAAGCACCACTATAAAGCTCTCGCCAAAGGCGTTCGAATGAGCCATAGGTTTTCGCGGGGTTCGCGCTGCGAGAAAAGTTATGGCCCTATTACCATCGCTGTGAAGTATACTTGACGCCACTAAAACCCTCATATCTTAGCAACCACGCCGAACCCCGCGCAAATTTTTGCAGCTATCGAAAGCTCTCGCCCACGCCTTTGTTTTCGCGGTGGAACCATTCCCCGAACCGGTGGGCAATGTCCCGAACAATTTCAGAACCTCATTTTTCAAATTTTTGCGGACAACAAGCCCCAGGTTGCACAAACAAAAAGTGTACCACGCAAGGTCATGTCGTCCACGTTCAGCGATGAGACATGGCGTTACTTCAGGGAGAAGTATGTATCGCTTCTGGGAGACGGGGGTGTTGTCAGCGCGGGCCTAGACAACAAGAGCAAGTCGTATCGCATACATCTTGTCGCGGACCTCCCTGAGGGCTCCAGGAAGGAGTGGAGGAGCACGCCGATCAAACGTCCGAAGGGCCGTAAGACGGGTCGCGACGGGGGTGCCGAGCGCAAGTTCTTCGAGGACTGGTGGCCATCTGAGGGCGGCAACGTCGTCGAGCGCCTGCGAGACTTCAGGCACCGCATTGAG